AGCGCGACAAACAGAGCGCGGCCAAGACGGCGATGCGGCAGCTCCTGCTCGAGACGCGATCCATCACACACAAGAGCCTCGCCGCCGTCAAGCAGAACAGCAGCGCCCTGCAGCAGATACAGGACACGCTCGTGCACGATGCCAGGCAAGTACAGCATGCGGCACTACTGTAGGAGTGCTTACAGGACGCGGCACTAGGAACGTACAGGACCCGGCACTAGGTTGTACAGGACGTGGCACTAGTGCCTACAGGACGTGACACTAGTGCCTACAGGACGTGACACTAGTGCCTACAGGACGTGACACTAGTGCCTATAGGACGTGACACTAGTGCCTACAGGACGTGACACTAGTGCCTACAGGACGTGGCACTAGTGCCTACAATACGCGACACTAGTGCCTACAGGACGTGTCACTAATGCCTACTAGACGCGGCACTAGTGCCTACAGGACGTGACACTAGTGCCTACATTACGCGACACTAGTGCCTACATTACGCGACACTAGTGCCTACAAGACGTGACACTAGTGCCTACAGGACGTGACACTAGTGCCTACAAGATATGGCACTAGAGCCTACATTACGCGGCACTAGTGCCTACAGGACGTGACACTAGTGCCTACATTACGCGACACTAGTGCCTACAAGACGTGACACTAGTGCCTACAGGACGTGACACTAGTGCCTACAGGACGTGACACTAGTGCCTACTGGACGTGATACTAGTGCCTACAGGACGTGACACTAGTGCCTACATTACGCGACACTAGTGCCTACAGGACGTGACACTAGTGCCTACAGGACGTGACACTAGTGCCTACAGGACGTGACACTAGTGCCTACAGGACGTGACACTAGCGCCTACAGGACGTGACATTAGTGCCTACAGGACGTGACACTAGTGCCTACAGGACGTGACACTAGTGTCTACAGGACGTGACACTAGTGCCTACAGGACGCGACACTAGTGCCTACAGGAGGTGACACTAGTGCCTACAGGATGCAGTAGATTTAAAAAATGACGATTTAAAAGTGCTTGTAAACAAGTGTATTTGAATAAAAAGTATTGTATCCAGGTACCTAGCGCTGGACCACATACCGGAGGAGAGGCAGCAGATCATCATGAGCTACCTGGAGGAGCTGGAGAAGAAGGGCCCACCGCCGCCGCCCACCGCCACCGAGCCCTCGCGCCGCTCCAAGCAGTGATCAGGTAACCTTCGCGCAACGGGGAGCGAGGGGGAGGGATTGGTTTGGGCAGCCCCCTTGCTAACAATACACTATCAGGTCGACTTTCCTACGGTTTCCTCCAAAAACCATTTTGGTTAATTCTTGTTGAATTCGTCACGATGGGCTAACTGACCTGCTTTATCCTCACCTATCATCCTTCACTGGTGCCCCGCCGGTGTATACCGATAGCGCAGGCGGGGTTACCACTCCATTATCGTCCTTTATAAAAAAACTTCGGGCAATACAATACATGAAACCGAAGTGAAGGGAGTGTTTTTTTATCGTGGCGAATACACCTGGAATTCAATACGATGGTTTCCAGGGGAGACCGCGTGGCGGTCGACCTTACAGGGTATATTGCTAGCAATGGGACTGGTAGCCCGTATTATTTACAATCCCCCTCCCCCCTAAGGCACTGTTCATAAGTTGCATAAAAAATGGTCCAAGAATCTTTTTCAACCATTTCACATTACTTTATTTACATATTTTTTTTTATACAACTTAGAATGGCAAACAAACCGACAGTCCACCTGATGGAAAGTGGTAACCGTCGCCTATAGACATGAGCAGTACCATGGACATAACAGAGTGTACTGTTTCGCCCATGGTACCCCGCATGCGTTGCCATTCCTGAGGACTCAGATGTTATTCCTCTGTACCGTGTAAATTCACTGCCATATCGCACCCTTCAAACCGAAACACAGCCATGCAAACACAACTGCTTCACGGTTGAAACACGAATGGGACAGTGGTACCCAAGTAATCGACTTTTGTACAAAGTCTCCCTCTAGTGGTTATATGTTTTGTTTATCCCATTCCAGCCTCACACGACGCCGGCAGAGGACGCGGTGGGATAGAATGCAGAATGTATATTTCGAGTCATTACATAAAGCGCACTAGTGATATAATTTGTATGGAATAAATGAATTGATTTGAATGGTACAGTGTTTTATTTAGAAATAAATTTATTTATTTATTTATTTGTTATAAGTTACAATAACAGTTTGCAAACAGAAATGAGCCATTAAAAGGAAAACAATACAAAAATGTATCAATACGCAGTGTGGAGTACAGGCCACAGGGGGAAAGGGATTGTTAGTAATGGAGACTGAGAATCCCATTGCTAGCAATATACCCAACCAGGTCGACCTCCTCGCGGTTCCCCCTGGAAACTATCATGGTTAATTCCTGATGAATTCATCATGACGGGCTAACTGGCCTGTTTTCATTCTCACCTATCACCCTTCACTGGTGCTCCGCCTGCGTATCCCGTGAGCGCAGGCGGGGCTACCGTACCATTTTCATTCAACAAAAAAATACCCTCCATAAGGTTACAATACCAGGGGGAGACGATGACGAACAAAAAAAATGGCCGCGCGGAAATAGTCTTAATAGATGGCGTTACTAGTCGCAATTTACTATTAATGCTTCCGTAAGTCTTAGAAAACAAACAAAATCATTTATAAAATATGTTTAAGGTAAAACACCGCAGTGGAAGCGTTTATAAGGGAATGTTCTCTGTCTGTCGAGGAGGACTAACCTGGCATCGGCTTTCTGTATTTTTCTGCTGTAGGTTATAGGTAGTTCTTCCTCAACTCCTATATGCACTCACGAGGTTTTACAGGTTCTTCAGGGCACATACAGTTTAAAACACACAAAATCACATTTATTTTCAGTCCGCGCACACGCCTCCATTCGGTCAGTACTTTTTTGTTATTCGTCAAAGTAAAGTGGGAGAAAAACAATAATGATGGACTCCAATATTGTAAACAAACTGTGCTTTATTATAAAGGGATAAGGCTTTATTTTGAACAAAATATGTATAGTTTTATTTTAAAAATCTCCTAAAAACGTAAAAATGAATAAAACAGATTCTTAAACCAAATCTCATTAGTTATATTAAAATTCAAAAATTGTTTTATTTCTATCAGGAAACTATTATGCTTCGATCTAATTAGCATTGTTTAGTTAACGCGGTCCTGCTACAAGTTTGTACACATCATTTCACAGATGGCGCTGTTTCTATTTAGTGCACTACTAAATCTGTTTTACCCGTTCACCTGAAATTTCTAGATACAGCGTTGCCAGATTGGGTACTCTTGTCACAATTATGGATAAAAATTAATTGTTCGCGAAACAAAAAAATCTTGGTAAAATGTTCGAAAATAAGTCAAAAAGCTTTGGAGAAGTTTGCTTATTTTTTATTTTTTTTTTTTTTATATTTCATTTATTTATATTTTTATTTATTTATATTTTTATTTTACATTTGTGGTATCTGTAAATCAGACAGCGTTATATAATTAGTATAGTATTTTTTTGTCGTTCTCTTTGAGGTTACATGGCAAAATGTAGAGAAATGGATACAAATTTGTGCTCGAGTACAATGAAGAAAGTTCTGCAGATTTGAAGAAAAAATATTTAACATTTGAGTAACAATTAATTATTTTAATGGCAACCCTGCGGTTAGAGATCTACCTACATTGTGTTGGCATGTTATTGGGATTAATAAGCGACTACGTGTATTTCTGTTTGTAAATTTTAATTGTGACCTAGCTTGTTCTAACTGGACTTTGACAAGTACAAATCAGATGACAATGCAATATTAATATGACATAGGAACTTCGCAATTAAACGATGCAACCCCAGTGAGTTTGGGCTCATTTGATTCGTCTTGACAAGTACTTTGATACTAGATGGTAACCAGGATCTGGTGTTGTAGCTGGAAGGTGGCCATAGGAACTCCGTAATTAAACAACGCAACCCCATCGAGTTTGGGCTCGTTTAACTCGTCTTGACAAGTGCTTTGATACCAAATGGTAACCAGGGTCTGATGATGGAGTTGCAAGGTGGCCATAGGATTTCCGTAATTAAACGACGCAACCCCATCGAGTTTGGGCTCGTTTAACTCGTCTTGACAAGTACTTTGATACTAAATGGTAACCAGGGTCTGATGATGGAGTTGCAAGGTGGCCATAGGATTTCCGTAATTAAACGACGCAACCCCATCGAGTTTGGGCTCGTTTAACTCGTCTTGACAAGTACTTTGATACTAAATGGTAACCAGGGTCTGATGATGGAGTTGCAAGGTGGCCACAGTAACTCCGTAATTAAACGACGCAACCCCATCGAGTTTGGGCTCGTTTAACTCGTCTTGACAAGTACTTTGATACTAGATAGTAACCAGGGTCTAATGATGGAGTTGCAAGGTGGCCATAGGAACTCCGTAATTAAACGACGCAACTCCATCGGGTTTGGGCTCGTTCAATTCGTCTTGACTAGTACTTTGATACTAAATGGTAACCAAGGTCTGATGAAGACGTTTGCTTGGGCATCTCTGTCCCATTCGTGTTTCTACCGTGAAGCAGTTGTGTTTGCATGACTGTGTTTCGGTTTGAAGGGTGCAATTTGACTGAATTTACTGAATACAGAGACAAGACCTTAATCCTCAGAAATGGCAACGTATGGGGGGTATCATGGGTGAAATAGTACAATCTGTTATGCTCTTGTCTATAGGTGCCGGTTACCACTTTCCACTTGTTTGCCATTGTAAGTTGCATAAAAAGACACCTGTCTCAACAGTCGTATCTCAGTTTTTTTAAGTCATCTTTCATTCATCATGGGTGTAATATCAAATTTTAATTTTATAAATTTTGCTAGAGAATTGTGTCTTCAGAATCGACTCCAATGTAATGCATTGAATCACAAAGCGGACGATAACAGCTCCTAGAGGCCTGTAAGGGCCTGTAAAGGACCCATCATGCAGCCCACGGAGTATTTTTATTTCAATAAAACATTTATTGGAACTGTTAAGAAAAACAGATCACAAGAATTAGAATTCTAAATCCTCGGACGAGAGTCGAATTTTCCTCGACGGTAGATCCCAAACGCGTACAATGCTGGCACTATCGCCCGCTGCTATACGACATGATCTGAAAAATAAATAAAAAAAATGTAAAATAGTTTTTTTAATGGCTGAGAATGGAATAATATATACCAATTATTTTAATTTAAAAAACAAATTACAGAGCCGATTTTGATAAATATTTGATTGGACTAATCTACCAGTACATTGTTTGAGATGAAAAAAAAAAGAAATTGATTGCCAATTGATGGAGGTATGAGGTAAGAAACTTACTTTAACTCTTATTTTAAAAAATCGATTAATAAATAATTCTGTTTAAAAATAAAAACAAGTTTTGATAACATAATCCGCCATCTTGAAATGGCGGCCATATTGTATTTAATGTGATGCCACTAACTTGTTGTTTTCTACTCTTTAAGACCTTTCACTTGACACCCATAATAAGAAATACGGGGACCTCTATCCCACTTGAGAGAACGGGATTATTTTTTTAATCGAAGATAATGGAATGATAGCCCAGTCTGCGCTATCGATATACGGTAACGATGTAAAGAGGTTTCTTCAGGTCGGCAACGCGCGCGTAATACCTCTGGTATTGCAGGCGTTGATAGGCTACGGTAACCGCTTACCATCAGGTGGGCCGTATGCTTGTTTGCCACCTCAGTGGTATAAAAAAAAAACATAACTATTAAATTAAACACACACCAATTACGAGTATATTATCGTTCTTAAATCTTGTAGTATATAATTTATATATTTTTTTTTAATGGATGAAAATGGTAACCCCGCCTGCGCTAATGGGATACGCTGGCGGAGCACCAGTGAAGGGTGATCGATGAGGATGAAAACAGGCCAGTTAGCACATTATGATGAATTCATCAAGAATTAACCACGATAGTTTCCAGGGGAAACCGCGAAGAGGTCGATCTGGTTGGTTATATTGCTAGCAATGGGATTCTCAGTCTCCATTACTAACAATCCCTTTTCCCCCCTATAATTTATAATTATAAACATACATAGGACATAGAGAAACCTAATCATGTAATTCTACTAATTAATAAATATATTAAGAAATATTTGTATAGATTAAAAACACCTCTGAACTGTTTCGTGGCTCCAACAATACTGACTGTCTTTTTTCGTTTTTGAATTTTATTTTTACAACACAGGGGGCAAACGGCTCACCTGATGGTAAGTGACTACCGCCGCCCATGATCACCCACAACAGCAACGGCATTGCAGGTGTGCTGCCGGCCTTTTAAAAAGGAATATGCTCTTTTCTTGAAGGTTATGTTGTCGTATCGGTTCGGAAATACTGCTGCTGGAAGTTGATTCCAAAGAGTGGTTGTGCGTGGGAGAAAGTGCCTTGAAAAATGCACGGTGGAGGACCGCCACTCATCCAAATGGTTGGGATGGAAAAATTGTCCACTGGTCCTTGTCCATATACGCTCCAATACCACATTTCCGGTTGAAATCACCGGAAGCAACAACAAATGGCAAATTGAAGATGTTTAACTTACCCACTCTGGTTGACACTCAGCGAGGTGACTGTGCCCTCGCCAGCAAACCCGTCGACCGGCAAAGTGCGGCCGCTGCATACATTGTAGACGGCCAGCGAGTGTTTCCTCTGTGGGTCAGCGGCCAGCCCGAGAACGACCACGCTCGGGTTGTTTGGTAACCAGCACATACTCGATATGGGAACGTCGAGGCAGAGCACCTGCCGCGTGGATATGTGTATAATAGTGAGTATACCGACTCAGTGGAGTCAATAAATAGATAGATACCAGAGGGAGACTTTATACAAAACTCGTTTGCTTGGCCACCTCTGTCCCATTCGTGTTTCAACCGTGAAGCAGTTGTGTTTGCATGGCTGTGTTTTGGTTTGAAGGGTGGGATATGGCGTGAATTTACAGGGTACAGAGAAATAACACCCGAGTCCTCATGAATGGCAACGCATGGGGGGTATCATGGGCGAAACAGTATACTCTGTTATGTCCACGGTACTGCTCATGTCTATAAGCGACGGTTACCACTTTCCACCAGGTGGGCCGTCAGCTTGTTTACCATTCTAAATCGTATAAAAAAATAGATAGATAGATAATTTATTTACATTACTTACAGCACACAAATTATAACATTTATAGATATACATAAAAAGCGAGATAAGAGAAATGATTAAAAAAAATACATAAAGCCAAGTACAATTTTTCCTTTCGTGCGTGTGCCAAAACAATACAAAATGGCCACAACTCAGTTTATCGCTTCGCCCTCAAAAGAGCAAAGCACTGATATTCTGTTGCGGCCAAAGGGAAATATAACCTTATAAATTTAGTTAGGGTGTTATTTATCCGTGTAAATAATTGAAATTACTTACATACTTGCAGATAGGTCCCTTAAATTGTCGTTTTATATATTTTGCTTTTTGTTTTGTTGCTTTTTTGTTTTTCATTCTTTTATCTCTTTTACTGTGTATTATTTTATTTATTTATTTATTCATTAGTACATATATGTGTACATGGCGGACTTAATGCTGAAAGCATTCTCTCCCAGTCAACCGTAGGGAAGTGGCAGAATACACGAATGCGGTACTAGTAATTATTGATATACATACATACTAAAATTACATATATAAACGAATAAATATATATGAATAACAAATATACTTACACATATATGATATATACTATATTATACACGAATTTGGGAATAATATAAAGCACTTACTGCTCGGATAAAGATAAAAAGTAAGCGTGAACGCTTTTTTTGAAAGACGGTTTAGTCGGTATTATGTATATGTTTGTATTGTAATTTGTGTGCTGTAAGTAATGTAAATAAATTATCTATCTATCTTTATAAGTTTTATTAAAGTCCATTCAATAGTTTAATTTTTAAATCAAACTTACTGGTTTTCCCACAATTGAAGTCCACTTTCAATATTTAAATACTTACCTTCAAAGGAGCAGCCTGATTCATGTCGTAAACCTTTAGTTCCGAGCCAATGGACACGGATGCGAAGACTCCAGGCCTCTGGAGACTGAAGGCCACCTCCAAAATACAAGTGGAATGCCCCTCCAGCACTTCGTACACTGGGTCTAGCACATTACTTCCGGCAATCTGCCGACACGACTTCGCTCTGCAAAGGTAGAGAGCCCCAGACTTCGTTCCGACGACAAACACATCGTCGGCGACCTTGTCGTCGCTCGGCCGTAGAGGATAACTCTTTATAAAGTCAAAACAAGTAATGTCAGGCGTCGCCAGTTTCCTGGAACCGTTCACAGCGTAAGAGACTACATTCTCGAAGACCTTGGAACTCGAGTTGACTTGCCACACGTTTATTGTGCCGTCGCTCCCAGAGGAGAAAAGAATTTGATCGGCCGCGCCTCGCCTTTTCCCGGTATTCTTTATTTGCATCGTCAAAAATATGTTTGCTAAAGACTGATCGGCCCATAGTAGGGCGCTTACCCTTTTAGAGCCGTGGCAACCCGACGGGGAAGTCAGTTGGGCGCCTTCGTGGTAATCCAAAGAGTTCCTCAAGTTGCAAATGACTACTTCTCCAGAGGTGGTCGCGTAAGCTAGCAACGCGGCCACGGAAGGGTGGTACTGTACCACGGAGACGCAATTTTTTTCAGTAATATCCAACGCTTGGACTAGCTTATCGCCAGCTGTGCGTTTGACGGTAAAGATCCTGATTAAACCGTCATGTTCACACCAATTCTCGTGGTGGGTGTAACCTATTGATACAGCTAACGAGTTACCAGCACTGCTCCAAGATAAACTTAATACACAGGGCGACTGGTGATCCCCGCTGCCGAGCCTGTGCTCCGTTTTCACTTCAATCTCTTGGAATAACTTCGCCGATACCAGTTCCTCGTCATCAGAGTCTGATGAATTGTCGATAATTTCCTTGTCATTTTGATTTAACTGGTCCATCATGGCCGGGACCACTCTCCTTAAGAACTCGTTGAGTCCAGGCGGCGGGTACTGCCTTAAAACAGACTCTGTAGCGTTCAAGTCCTCAGGGGTGACATTGCATCCGCTGTCCACGGACAGGTTAGTTTGTGAAGACGCACCAACTTCTGCGAACTCGCTTGTCTGAGTACCATTATCAGATTCGGAGCTCTTGTTTCTAGTTACAGATTCGAAGCCCACAACTTCACTATCATAACCGCTTAGATTAGACATTATTTTTACTTCGAAATTCTTTCTTTCTATTTTACTTTTATCGCTGAAAATACTTGTGTATTTTTATTTAGGTTGTGTTTTGTTTGGACGCGTTGCTATGGAGACGGGGTTTGTTTTGTGATTACAAAAAGAAATGGCAAATAACTGACAGTTCAGTTAATTAAAAAGGTTATTATCAAGTTTACGGCTTTTGGCCACAGCAGAGTATTACAGAAATCAGATATTTATTATCGGATACCAAAGGGAGACTTTGTATTTTGTTTAACTCCGTCAGTTGTGAACCCACTTGGTAAATTCCTTTTTTTATCTGAAAGGACGTACTTAAAGATTGGTCGTGTAGAAAGTTTATCGAAATCGGTTCAGCAGTCTAGTTTTGAAACCGAAATAACTGATTTTGGCACAATAGAAATCTTTTTTTTTTGTGGATTTTTTAACAAAGAAATAAATACATAATGCCGTGCGGTCCCTGCATAGAATAGGCCACCCCTTCCTTTTCCGTGGGTGTCGTAAGAGGCGACTAAGGGAGGGCGAGGGACGGGCAGCAGCGTCCCTCTTAAAACATCTTCGAAGCCTAACTGCGGTTACCAATCCGCCTGCCAAGCGTGGCATTACTGGCAAAATCCGCGTTATGGGAGAGACCTATGTCCAGCAGTGGAAAGTTAACAGCTGATAAGGTGAAGATGATGGTGATGAAATAAATAAACAAAATATTGTATTAGTTTTTATTTCCACAATGTCCATTGGTATTTCTAACGCCATACATTTTAATTTACAACATAAAACAATTAAAGCTTCTCGTTCATTTAAACGGAACACAGGACGCCATGTTCTATCGTCTGCTATGCTTTTGTCCTGTAAATAAAAAAAAATACAACAATTACCAGAGGGAGACTGTACAAAAGTCTTTTGCTTGACCACCTCTGTCCCATTCGTGTTTCTACCGTGAAGCAGTTGTGTTTGCATGGCTGTGTTTCGGTTTGAAGGGTGCGATATGGCAGTGAATTTACACGGTACAGAGGAATAACACCTGAGTCCTCAGGAATGGCAACGCATGGGGGGTATCATGGGCGAAACAGTATACTCTGTTATGTTCACGGTACTGCTCATGTCTATAGGCGACGGTTACCACTTTCCATCAGGGGGGCCGTCAGCTTGCTTGCTTGTGAATAGTTCAAGTGAAATACAGTGACATAAATACAGACTGAAATATACACATAAAGGTACAAAAGGCGGTGTTATCGCTAGGGCGATCTCTTATAGACAACTTTTGGTTAAAGGAGAACTCCTCGCAGGCGAGGTTATTCTTTGATGGATGAAAATGGTATGGTAGCCCCGCCTGCGCTAACGGGATACGCTGGCGGAGCACCAGTGAAGGGTGATAGATGAGAATGAAAACAGGCCAGTTAGCACATCATGATGAATTCATCAGGAATTAATGATAGTTTCCAAGGGGAACCGCGAGGAGGTCGACCTGGTTGGGTATATTGCTAGCAATCGGATTCTCAGTCTCCATCACTAACAATCGCTTTCCCCCCGCGCAGGCGGGGTTACCATTCCTTTATCACCCATTAAAAATACTCGTATGCGCTATTGGTAAACGCTGGCGGGGCACCAGCCAGAGATGATAGGTTTATTTTTTTTACAACACAGGGGGCAAACGAGCATGCACTTCACCTGATGGCAAGTGACTACCGCCGCCCATGATCACCCGCAACACCAGCGGCATTGCAGGTGTGTAGCCAGCCTTTTAAAAAGGAATATACTCTTTTCTTGAAGGTTACGATAAAAAGGCAGGTCGGTTAGGCCACCGTGACGAATCTACTTGGAACTCAGCACGACGGTCTCCAGGGAAGCTTCGTGTTGTTCCCCACAGCGTGTGTGCGTGTGTGTGTGTGTGTGAGCGCGCGCGCGCGCGCGTGTGTGTGTGTGTGTGTGTGTGTGTGTGTGTGTGTGTGTGTGTGTGTGTGTGTGTGTGTGTGTGTGTGTGTGTGTGTGTGTGTGTGTGTGTGTGCGTGTGTGCGTGTGCGTGTGTGCGTGTACGTGTGTGTGTGCGTGTGCTAGAGTGTGCGTGCGCGTGCGTGTGCGTGTGCGTGTGCGTGCGTGTGCGTGTGCGTGCGTGCGTGTGTGTGCGTGCATATGTGTGCGTGTGCGTGCGTGTGCGTGTGAGTGTGCGTGTGAGTGTGCGTGTGCGTGTGCGTGTGCGTGTGCTAGTGTGCGTGTGCGTGTGCGTGTGCGTGCGTGTGCGTGTGCGTGTGCGTGTGCTAGTGTGCGTGTGCGTGTGCGTGTGCGTGTGCGTGTGCGTGTGCTAGTGTGCGTGTGCGTGTGCGTGTGCGTGCGTGTGCGTGTGCGTGTGCTAGTGTGCGTGTGCGTGTGCGTGTGCGTGCGCGTGCGTGCGTGTGCGTGTTCGTGCGTACCCGTGCACGCGCCGCAGATGCCGCGCGGCGTAGTGTCGGCAGCGGTACACGCGGCCGCACAGCCCGCAGCGCGCGGCGCGGCCGCCGTGGCACGCGCGCCGGTGCGCCTGCAGCCCGCTCGCCGCCTTGAACGTCGCCGGGCACTGCGGGCACTGCGGCAGGCGGGGGGAGGGGGGCGTCACAACACACGGGTAGCCAGTACACCACACCTCACCAGAGGGAGACTTTGTACAAAAGTCGTTTGCTTGGCCACCTCTGTCCCATTCGTGTTTCTACCGTGAAGCAGTTGTGTTTGCATGGCTGTGTTTCGGTTTAAAGGGTGGGATATGGCGTGAATTTACACGGTACAGAGGAATAACACCTGAGTCCTCAGGAATGGCAACACATGGAGGGTAACATGGATGAAACAGTATACTCTGTTATGTCCATGATACTGCTCATGTGTATAGGCGACGGTGACCACTTTCCATCACGTGGGCCGTCAGCTTGTTTGCCTTTCTAAGTTGTATAAAAAAAACCTATTACATAGTACATTTCATCATTCATCATTTTTGAGATTATCCGTCCACTGCTGGACATAGGCCTCCCCCATAGACTGCCATAAAGAACGGTCCTGAGCCACCTGCATCCACTAACTCTTTGCAATACATTTGAGATCGTCACTCCATCTTATGAGGTTCATCCTACACTGCGTTTGCCCCTAAGCGGTGGCCACTCAAGAGCCTTTTTTTTCCCCATCGGTTGTCGGTTCTTTGAGCTATATGACCAATATAATGGTAACCCCGCCTTCGCTGTCAGTATACGCTGGCGAGGCACCAGGGAAACATTATAGATGAGGACGAAATCGGATCAGCCAAACCATTTCACCAACGTATCAGTTATGAAGGTTTCCAGAGGGAACCACGTGAAGGTCGACCTGACACCTAACTGCGGTTGCCAAGCGTGGCGACTATTGCCAAAACTCCCGTTAAGGGGGAGGCCTATGTCGAGCAGGCGGTATGACGAGCTGATGTAGGCGTACCGTGAGCGAGCGATGCGTGCGGTGCGAGTGCTGGTGCTGGGCCAGCAGCCGCGCGGCGTGGAAGCCGGCGCCGCACGACTCGCAAACGAACGGCTTCTCGCCGCGGTGGCGCCGCTCGTGGTTCTGCGGCGAGACAAACAAACATAAACATAGACACAGACTTTTTTTACAACACATGGGGCAAACGAGCAATCGGCTCACCCGATGGTAAGTGACTACCGCTGCCCATGATCACCCACAACACCAACGGCATTGCAGGTGTGCTGCCGGCCTTTTAAAAAGGAATATGCTCTTTTCTTGAAGGTTACGTTGTCGTATCGGTTCGGAAATACCGCTGCTGGAAGTTGATTCCAAAGAGTGGTTGTGCGTGGAAGAAAGTGCCTTAAAAAACGCACGGTGGAGGATGGAGGAAGCCGGGGCGGATTGTTAATTTACTTATATAATTAACGCGCGCTCAATGGTTTACCAGAGGGAGACTGTACAAAAGTCGATTGCTTGGGTACCTCTGTCCCATTCGTGTTTCAACCGTGAAGCAGTTGTGTTTGCATGGCTGTGTTTCGGTTTGAAGGGTGGGATATGGCGTGAATTTACTGGGTACAGAGGAATAACACCTGAGTCCTCAGAAATGGCAGCGCATGGGAAGGTTATTATGGGCGAAACAGTATACTCTGTTATGTCCATGGTACTGCTCATGTCTATAGGCGACGGTTACCACTTTCCATCAGGTGGGCCGTTTGCCAATCTAAGTTGTATAAAAAAAAACGATGCTGGTGCTTCTTCTTTAATCTTTCGAGCTAAAATAAGCTATAATTTATTGTATCAGGCGGCGCATCAGACGGGCCGTACGCCACGCTACTCACCCGCATGCCCATGATGGCGGCGCTCTGGAAGTCGCAGTAGGAACACTTGAATTTCTCGTAGCCGTGCTTGGCGCGGTAGTGCTCGTTGAGACGGAACTTGTTCCCGAACTTTTTACCGCAGTGCTGTACACAACGTATTGTATATAACTAGCGATCCGGCCCGGCTTCGCACGGGTGCAATGCTGATACTAAATATACCTAGCTACTACAGAATGTCCTTATAAACAACATTTACAGCGGGGGAAAGGGATTGTTAGTAATAGAGACTGAGAATCCCATTGCTAGCAATATACCCAACCAGGTCGACCTCCTCGCGGTTCCCCCTGGAAACTATCATGGTTAATTCCTGACGAATTCGTCACGATGGGCTAACTGACCTGCGTTTTCCTCCTTACCTATCATGTGTCCCTGGTACTCCGCCAGCGTATACCAATAGCGCAGGCGGGGTTACCATGCCATTATCATCCATTAAAAAAAATACCTTCATAAAGTGTCAGCCAATTGAACTGATCGGTTATTTTATAGCATTTTATACGTGATTCTTTTTTTTATGGATAAAAATGGACTGGTAACCCCGCCTGCGCTATTGGTATACGCTGGCGGAGTACCAGGGACACATGATAGGTAAGGAGGAAAACGCAGGTCAGTTAGCCCATCGTGACGAATTCGTCAGGAACTAACCATGATAGTTTCCAGGGGGAGCCGCGAGGAGGTCGACCTGGTTGGGTATATTGCTAGCAATGGGATTCTCAGTCTCCATTACTAACAATCCCTTTACCCCCATATGTGATTCTTTACATTGATATAACATTTTTATTTACGAACCGATTGAAATAAAACAAACACTAAATGTTAAGTGGGGCAAACCGCGACGCGTTAGTGAAAACTGTATTCAAATCGGTAAAGCCGTTTCTGAGATTAGCGCGCACAAACGTAAAGACTAACAGACAAAATTCTAAAAATCATTGTTTCTGGGTTCTATTGCGTTCATAAAGCCTCCATACAATAATTTTTGCCAACTAAGACAGACTCGTTCAGACAAGTGTTACCTCACAGACGGGCCCCAGGCCGGCATGTTTGACGGCCTTGTGCATCCTCAGGCTGGCCCTCTGCATCGTTTTGTGACAGACATCACACTCTGTCAGCTCTCGACCCTGGGGGGAAGGGATTGTTAGTAATTTTTGTTTAATAGGTGAAAATGGAATGGTAACCCCGCCTGCGCTATCGGTATACACCGGCGGGGCACCAGTGAGGGGTGATAGGGTTTTTTTTTATACAACTTAGAATGGCAAACACGCTGACGGCCCACCTGATGGAAAGTGGTAAGCGTCGCCTATATACATGAGCATTATCGTGGACATAACAGAGTGTAGTGTTTCGCCCATGATACCCCCCTATGCGTTGCTATTCCTGAGGACTCAGGTGTTATTCCTCTGTACCCTGTAAATTCACTGCCATATCCCACCCTTCAAACCGAAACACGGCCATGCAAACACAACTGCTTCACGGTTGAAACACGAATGGGACAGAGGTACCCAAGCAATCGACTTTTGTACAAAGTCTCCCTCTGGTAACGTGAGGGTGAAAGCAGGTCAGTAAGCCTATCATGAAGAATTCCGTGAAAATTAACCAGTTTCCAGGGGGAACCGCGTGGAGGTCGACCTGATAGGGTACATTGCTAGCAATGGAACTGTTAGATCCTATTACTATCAATCCCTTTTCCCACGGGATTGTTAGTAATGTGGTATACCAATCCCATTGCTAGCAATATAGCCCCTGGAAACCATCGTGCTGTATTCCAGGTGTATTCATCACGATGGGCTAACTGACCTACCTCTTTATCCTCACCAATCATGTGTCCCTGGTACTCCGCCAGCGTATACCAATAGCGCAGACGGGGTTACCATTCCATTATCACCCATTAAAGAAAAGACCTACTTTTTACCTTCCTTGGTATTGCAGGCGTTCATAAGCTACGGTAACCGCTTACCATCAGGTGAGCCGTATTGCAGTATGAAAAAAAATGTAAATTGGACTCTATTTTTCATGCTAAGCCTCTCATTTGGACCACTGGCGGTATGAGTCATGTCCAGTACAGCCAGCCCAGCTCTGGCAAGACGCACAGAAGCTTGCTGGTACCTTCACAGGCCTTACGGAGCGACCTCAGTTCCAAGGATTTCTAACCGTTGAGAGGCCACAGCTGCACGTTCCAGAAATGTGAAGCTCAGCTCCCGCCCCTCACCTCTCTTTGAAGATCAACTAGTTCTCTTTCCCCCCAATACATACGCACCGAGTCGTTGGCTTTCCGTTTCCTCTTCTTGGCCGTACACGTCGCCACGTGTTCTACGAGCAGTTCCCGATTTTCGAATTCGGATTTGCAGTACTGGAACAATGGATATCATCAGCCTTTCATCATCATCTTCACATCAGCCTTTAACTGTCCACTGCTGAGCATGAGCCTCTCTCTTGGGGTTTTACCAGTAGTCGCCACGTTTGACAGGCGGACTGGCAACCGATAGACTTTAAAAATTATTTAAAAATGCCGCTGCTGCCCATCTCTCGACCTCCCTTAGTCGCCTCTTACTACATCCACGGCATAGAATAGGCCACCCCTTCCTTATCCGTTGGTGTCGTAAGAAACGATGTAAGGGCGAGGGATGGACAGCAGCGTCCCTCTTAACCCTTTCAGTGCCATTGATTTTTACTCATATATACTTAAAAATGCCAAAGAAATCTTTGTCGTGTTGATGTCATTTATTTTATTTATTTATTTATTCATTAGTACATATATGTGTACATGGCGGATATACATATATGTGTACATGGCGGATGCTAGAAGCATTCTCTCCCAGTCAACCGTAGGGAAGTGGCAGAACACTCGAATGCGGTACTAGTAATTATTGATATACATACATACTAAAATTACATATATAAACGAATAAATATATATAAATAACAAATATACTTACACATATATGATATATACTATATTATACACGAATTTGGGAATAATATAAAGCACTTACTGCTCGGATAAAAATAAAAAGTGAGCGTGAACGCTTTTTTTGAAAGACGGTTTAGTCGGTAGTCTCTTAATAAAGAAAGAAAGAAAGAAAGAAAAAACTTTATTTTACAAGAAATATGCGACGGCACCCACACAGGGGTTAAAAAAAAATCCATATATTAAGAATTATAATAAAGAAACAACACAAAAAAATATTTATAAAAAAAAAATATATATATATATATAAAATTAAAAAAGAAAAATAAAACGATTCGTATGGCATCAGGAAGCGCGTTCCAGAGTCGTGAAGAATGTAGGAGAAGACTTTGAAGCGTAACCAGTACCATTTACCCTTGTCTCTAAAAAAAACTGTATCTCCTCCAAAAATTATCCAATTTTTATATTTTTTTTTACAGCAAGCTAAACAGCGACTGATTTCACGAGCGCTATGACGCTCGTGGCACTTTTAGTTGCAATGCGCACGAACGCGGTGGCGCTCGTCAGCACTCAATGGGTTAAAACATCTCCAAAACCCAACTGCGGTTGCTGATCCACCTGCCAAACTTGGCCATCATCGGCAAAACCCCCCAAAGGCGCAAGGACAAGGCTTATGTTCAGCAATGGACAGTTAAAGGCTTATGATATAAAGGCATATAAGTAAATATATCCCGGTCAGGCGGACAAAGCCGCGGGTAAAAGTAAGCAAAGAACACTTACTCCACATCGTGAGCACGCAGAGCCGTGCATTAGTACTCTATGTCTGTTCATTTTCTCCTTCAGTACATAACTGTCGCACAGATCACACTTGACCTTCCTCTTGTCAGCGCCGGGGTGACTCCGCGCCATATGCGTGTCAATACTCCTCACCGACAGATCCTTCTGACACAGTTTACATATCACACGTTTCTTTTTACCCGCACTAAATATAACATCGTAAGGTTGATCTATTATTTCCGCTTGTTTAACTTCGTTCACATCTATTTCCGTTGTTTCTGTTAATTCTTTCATTTCGTTGTCCGTTTCCGTTATTTCTAAATATATTTCCTTGCTATCAACATGTTCTGCGTCTATAGTGTCGCACAATATGTTCTCAATTAAGTATTTCAAAGGTTTATCGTCTTCGTCTTCTAGTACATTTGTAATTTCATCATTTTTCAATTCGCTGTTTCTATCAATTCTCTCCGTTTCCGTTGCTACCGTTTCATCGTCATTATTTGTAACGATGCTAGATTCCGTTGTGTGATGGAGTGCAACTCCGTTATGTGCATTGTCCAACTCTAGTTTCAATTTTAATAATACAATTTCGGCCTCTTTGCATTTCTTTCGAAATTTCAAATACGAGTTAAGAAAGTTTATACATTCCGTACACATGTTCTGCGGTAACCCATCGTTGAATTCAATCTGGAACAATAATAGATATTGCTAAAAAGTAGTTTTAGTTATATCATCTATTATTTTTTAAATTTTTACAAAATTCACATCTCCCCTCTTAAGGAGAGGAGATGGCAACTAACCCCCGGCAGAAGCACAGTCGGCCGGGGTTCAGGGCCGACTGTACTTTCTTTCTTAAAGCACCGCTTTCTGCATCTTTCCCGGGAGTGAGCCGCCTCGGAATCCCAACCGTCTGAGATGTTGTTCCAGACTGGTTGGGATAAGACCGTTCACCGACAAAACTTATTTTTAACTTATTTTTATTATTATTATTTCAGCCATTAACTGTCCTCTGCTGGACACAAGCCTTCCTCATAAGGGGAGTTTTGCAAGTAGTTGCCATATTTGACAGGCGGGCTGACAACTGCCGTTAGGCTTTGCAGATGTTTTAAGAGGGACGCTGCTGCCCGTCCCTTATTTGCCTCTTACGACACCCACGGGAGAGGACGCGGTGGCCTATTCTATGCCGATGCACACATGGTGAATAAATAAATAAATATTGCAAACTGATTTATAAGTGATGGGGTTATGGGGTAATAAACATATAAAAATACAACCGAATTAAAAAACCACCTTCTTTTTAAATTCGGTTGAAAAGTAGATTATAAATATTTATACAACTTATTATTTATTATTATTATTTATTTTTTTATATATTTTTTTATACAACTTAGAATGGCAAACAAGCTGACGATCCACCTGATGGAAAGTGGTAACCGTCGCCTATAGACATGAGCAGTATCGTGGACATAACAGAGTATACTGTTTCGTCCATGATACCCCCCATGCGTTGCCATTCCTGAGGACTCAGGTGTTATTCCTCTGTACCCTGTAAATTCACTGCCATATCCCACCCTTCAAACCGAAACACAGCCATGCAAACACAACTGCTTCACGGTAGAAACACAAATGGGACAGACCAAGACAGACCTTGTGGCCAAGCAAACAACTTTTGTACAAAGTCCCCCTCTGGTAAAATACAGCAGTACCCTACACATGAACAGGACTGCAAACATCACAGTTTATCATCATCACTAAATTTGATATAGTATTGTTCAGAGCATAATGCATGCTCCTACTACCAAAATTGCTTTGCGACTTTGTGACACTGTTGTTTTTTGAATTAAGGACAAGTTTCCAGGGCGAACACCGTCTTATCTGTCTTGGTTATTCTAATATTCAAATATTATAATTTCTATGTTTCTATGGGTTGTATGTGGTCTAGGGTTTCTATGTAGTTAAAGTAGAAGGACATTTTTTTTTATTATTAATGGGTGATAATGAAATGGTAACCCTGCCTGTACTATCGGTATACGCTGATGGGACAGTAGTGAGAAGGTCGACCTTATAGGATGTATTGCTAGCAATGGGTCATTTATTCATCCCATTACTAACAATCCCTTTCCCCCGAACGACATGTTTAGGCCCCTATCTCTCTCAAACTTGCTATCTAACTCAGAAATGGAGTGTCACACAAAAAAATGCACATGACCAAAGTTCTCTAGGAACCCTACCTTATCTATAAAAAGGGGGGGATTATATCGACATTAAAAAGTAGAAATTTTCCCAAGTCCCATATTTTTTGGTAAAAAAAAAAATTTTTTTCGGCTTTTCAATAGTGTTCCCCTATCCATACATCTCAACTCCAACAACCGCCCCTAAGGGTATCCACTGACCATATATTATTAATTGCACTTGAAAAAAAGGATACAGTGATTTGTTTAACAACTTGTTAGCAAGGGAGGGCTTAACTCTATAAGAGATCACTTCCAATGAGATATTTTACCAAAGTAAATACACACCTTCACACCAGTTGAGATGTAAATCGATAGAGAATACCGTGCGTGGTCGCTGCTATTCACAAATATTGAATTCAAAGAAGATTTACTAAGACAAGTTCTGCAAACAGAAGAAAAATTCATGTTCCTCTTCGAATGTAACACGGGTAACAGAATTATATTCTTTTTTATAAATGTTGCATTGGAGTCGTAATATATTTGAATATATTTTCTTTAATAAAACAATATATAAGTATATTTTTTAATTTAATTTTCATTCAAGAAAATAAATAAAAATAAACAAGCCCAACACAGTAGTGTTGCCATATAAACTGGGCCGAAATTAGCTAAAACCTTACATGTCAAGTAGCCTAAAGAAGCCCGAATTTTTTTATTGCAATATAGCCTAAATCGTTCAATAATATACATATAAATATCATTTATAAGTTTAAAAACAATTTTAGGATTAATACATTTATTTTAACATATCACATAGTAAGCCATAATATTCTGAATACCCTCTTGACAATTTTAACAACACTATAATCAATAATTATGTATATAAATTAGGACAATAATAAATTTAGACCGTTGTAATTCTAATTAGGCAATTATAACGTTAATATTTTTGAATAACCTAGTTAGTAAATTTCAATTCTATAAATCATATCTAATCAGTAACATAACTAATGAATTTTAAGTTTAATAAAACATAACGGTACTTTCTAATTATAAATGAAATTGAATATTCTATACTTAGTAAAACTACACAGAGACCTACCCTTCCGTTTCTGTCGAGCGACTGCACCGCCTTTTACTCGTTGTCTAATACTTGCTTCCCGCTTACGGCGTGGCGGACGTTGTAGTGGGGAGAAATTAGTCAATTTCTTGACTGTTTTTTTAAATGACGACAACAAGTTGCTGAGATACATATGCGTGCTTATCGACTACTATCGGCACTGCCAGTTCGCACCTGCACTGCTCAGTTTGCTTCCACTTATCAGGCTATTTCTCTGCTCAATTCTCTGATTGCTCGGCAGCCAGATATTGACATATTTAATGACAAAATAGATATATTTTTAAAATGTTGTACAAAATTTGTAAGTTTGTAAAATAAACCTGTGGCTCATTACACGTTTTGGGAGACTGTAAGTGTGGTGAGTGATTTTCAAATAAATAAATAAATCCCTTACGTTACCTGTAATTTTGCGCGTCATCATCATTTGTATCTTTTTCATATGGAATTATAAAAATCGATTTTAATATAAACAAATAGAAGGGAAGAGATTGTTAGTAATGTGGACTGTCAGTCCCATTGCTAACAATATACCCTAACAGGTCGACCTCCCCGTGGTCGCCCCTGGAAACCATCGTGCTGAATCCCAAATGTATTCATCACGATGGGCTAACTGACCTGCATTTTCATTCTCATCTATCATCCCTCACTGGTGCTCCGCCGGCGTATACCGTTAGCGCAGGCGGGGTTACCATTCCATTATACTCGTAATTCATAAAAAAAAAATATGAACAAATAAATCCCTTTTAATATATTGTCTCAAATCAAATACTTATATAGTTAAACTTTTTGAATAAAAAACAAGCAACAGCTTCGATTGCAATCATTCGGATTACGGAGCGGTAATAAAAATTATTGTTCAAAGATGCTAAAATCTAAGTTTAATTAAAAATCTTTTTTCTTTCTTTCTATCTCACTACAACTGAAAAACTTATTAGGGGGGACTACATGGAGGTCGATCTGACAAGGTATATTGTTAACAATAGGACTGATACTCCATATTACTAACAGATTATCCCCCCTGCTCAATTTGTTGCCATTTGTCATACTATTTCTTCACTCAATGCTCCGATTGTTTAACAGTCAGATTTTAATATTCATAATGACAAATTAAGGAGGGAAAAAGCATGATTACTTATGAAGGCTAGTAGCACCATTGCTGGCAGTATAACATGTCAGCTGACTTCCACGCGGACATCTAGAAACCATTAATTCTTTTTTTTTATAATGTTCGCCCAATTTGTGGACAGGCTAAAGTCATTTAGACCATACCGCCTTGTCTGAAGTAATCTATGATAAATTCCTTAGTCTAACCCAACCAACCTCCTTTCAATTTCAGGTGCCCGACTGGGGCATACTGCTACTGCAGACAGGGATCTAGTAACCGAGTAAATGAATGATAATGGAATAGTTTCCAACCTTTTCATAATACTAATCGGAACTTTCTCAATCTAACTACAAGCTAAATCGGTAGTTATTACATTAAAATGTAATGTGTGCTTACAAAACTTTTAACAATAAATTAAAAAAAAAATAAAACAATGTATTTCAAATACATATTTTCAGCCTATACAAATATCTATTTTCAATTACCATATTCTTCAATTTTTTGTAAAATAGACAGAAATTAAAGAATTTAACTTTATAAATATGAAAAATACTACTTTATTTAAAGAGTAAACATATACTTCCATTTTTTTTTTTAACAATTTGGTTGATATTTGATACAAAAGACGATGACATTAGATACAAGATGGCTGAATTATAAAAAATATGGGTGCTGTTTAAAAAACAATGTAAAATATCTCTTAAAATACTATTGCTTTAGGAATACTTTAGTAATATTACATTTCGAAATGCGAGGTTTACAATTAACGTAAAAAAAAAATACTTTTATTAAACCATAATTAAATATATTTTTAAAAGAAGAAAGCCGTAAGAGACTGATAGATAGATAGATACTCTTTATTGTTCCCTCCAAAAGATTACAATAGTAAACTTATTATAAATATAAACAATTACAAGAAATAATCACAATGAGAGAACAATGGGCGACCTTATGGCTAACAGCGATCTCTTCCAGCCAACCTTTGGATGGAGAGGAGTAATTATCTTAGTGATGTTCACAATGAATGCATGGGTTTTGCCAAATACGATTTACTTTTAAGATTTTTCTTACACGCATTCACATCTGTATGGCGTTTTCGCTGTATGTGTTCTGATATAGTGCTTCAAATATCTACGTGTACTAAAACATTTTATACATACATTACAACTGTATGACTTTTCACCTGTATGTGTTCGCATATGTACCTTCAAATATACATTTCTTTGAAAACACTCCTTACACACGTCACAACTGTATGGCTTTTCCATGTGAACTGTAACACTTCTTGTCATGTTTACATCTGTATGGCTCTCCACGAGTATCCAATTCAGGTGTAGAAGGAGTTTTGCATTGTTTATATGATTTCTGGCCCATATGTACTGACATATGGTGTTCTATTGCATTATAGGACTTGAATGTCTCTCTGCATATATCACATGAGTACAATGTACCAGTTGCCACTGTCCTATCTTGGTGCTTGGATATGTGGACATCATCCTCAGTATACAGCACATTTTTACAACCATCTTTTGAACGTGACAAATGGTTTGCAGCTCCAGACGCTGTCCTTGTTTGAACGACTGTTGGTCCTATAACCAACTCGCTCTTTATTTCATGATCCTCGTACAGTTTTATAAGATTATCTTTTTCCTTGCCTGAACATGTGCGGTGGCCTACTGCTGACTGCTCAGTTGCGTCAACACACTCCGACTTTACAACTCCAGCTCCGTCTACTCCATACTGAAGGACATCAAGTTCACTCGTCTCTTGTTCAGTGTTACAACTCTCATACTGTTTTGTTGGTGGCTGACTGTCTTCACCAGAGAATATGTTTATATGTGCCGTTTCCTCAGTGGCAACACACTCTGTCTTCACAACTCCAGTTATATCTACATCGTACTCGATGATTTCTTGTTTAATCGATTGTTTCAGCACTGTGTCTTCTTCTGTTCTGGACTCTGGAGACTTTTTGTAAAATATGGGGAGGATCTCTTGTTTAATTCTGCAACAGACATGTGCACCAGCCCCTGGTACAATGACTGCATCAGTATCCGACTGTGGCTCCCGAGCTTCCTGCTTGACACGCACGGCGGTCACATCCGGCTGGCTCGCCGTTTTTTCTTGGCTTGCACTTTCAGAATGCATCTCGACTGCTGGCCTTGCAAATGCATTAAATATTACCAATATGTTGCCAAATGCATAATTGGAAACATCAGCTTTTATTGCCGTGCACAAAACATAAAGCCAAGTATGCTTCTACTATATTTCAATAATTCTATGTCATTGTTTTTCTAGAACTACCCTCACTTTTATATTAAAAGCTATTATTATGTAGGGTACTAAGATATAGTCTGTCATTACGTGGAGTACAGTGTTCACAATAAAAAAAATCATTACCAGTGGGAGACTTTGTACAAACGTCGTTTGCTTGGCCACCTCTATCACATTCGTGTTTCCACCGTGAAGCAGTTGTGTTTGCATAGCTGTGTTTCGGTTTGAAGGGTGGGATGTGGCGTGAATTTACAGGGTACAGAGGAATAACACTTGAGTCCTCAGGAATGGCAACGCATGAAGGGTATCATGGACGAAACAGTATATTCTCGTTATTTACATGCTGTTATTGCATGTTGTTGTTACGTGCTAAATTCCATATGTATTCATCACGATTTACCAAATGACCTGCTTTTTCATCCTCACCTATCATCTCTCACTGATGCCCCCCCACTGTATACCGATAGCGTAATCGGGGTTACCATTCCATTATCATCCATTAAAAAGACCCCCTCTTATGGAATAAAGGATCAAGAAAAATGAAGGACGTTAGATATATAGTTTGTTTTATATTATATAGAACATTATTATTTATAAAAAAATATTGCATGCCAAGCGTCCCAGCATCCTCCGCTGAATTAGCAATGTATTATATTGTTCGCCTTGCCACCGTCCACTGGACTAGTGGTCGCGATCCACCCCTGGTGTAGTCTTCGACAGTCTGTATGGATATCCGTTAAAGGAGATAAAAGGATGGTGAAATATTAAATTAATAAAATAAATTTTGAATTATAAAATATTATAATTATAACTGTTTTGTGCAAAATTTCAATATAAATAATGATATAATTATTAACAATTTTCAAATTCTAAGATGGATTTGTACTGAAAAGGGGTCCCGTGCTAAAAGTTTGGGACTCCTTGTATTTGTCTTGGAAAATACATATCATACAATCCGAAATCTAATATTGTAACTCCAATTTTAAACATTACTACGGCGAATCTACCATTAAATGAAATTAGAAATTTCGTATTTACGTTCGTACTTGAACTAAGAACAAGGAATTAAATTGAACGAGTGATAAAATTGTCAATTCATAGCAGGCTAGTGTATAAAAAATGTTGGCCGTATAACCCCACCAAATACAGATACAACCTGCTCGCATACTGTCTACATAAACTGTGTCCAATATATAATCTAGTAATGTAACATTTGTCATTGACAAATAATTGACATATCAAACATTGTCTATACACTAGCCTGCTACGAATTGAGAGAAATAGCAACTGATGGTGTATCTTTCGTCCTCTTTTTACTAATTATATTTGCATAAGAAGAAAGGAGGCAACCGTATGATTTACAGTTTTTATTTTATCATTCCTTCTATGTAATTCCTTGTTCTTAGTACTGAAATCGGCCCAACAAATGGGACTTAATATTTTATTCGTACTAAATCCAATAGTAATAGTTCAGAATAACGATTTTTTATTATTTTTAAAAAGTATGTATGTATTATGTAGTTTTAACATTGTAAGTAGGTCAAAATTAAGGTTGCTATCCGTCCAAGTTACCCCGGATTTGTCCTAGTTTAGAGGGCATCCATATTGCGTCCGGGCGAGGCGTATTTTACAGTCTTTTGGGCGTAATTCTGTTTTGTTAGGTACATTTAAAATTATAATAAATCATGACTAAATTAAATTTTTAAGTATGTAAATACATAAAAAAGTAATTTTTAACATTTTCAACTGTTTTTTATTATACTATATAAAAAAAAATACCGTAGATATGCCCGCGTTCTGGGCTCTTAAATCTCTGGGTTTCACGCGTCTTGTCCTGTTTGGCACATTTTAGAGATGGCAACCCCAGACAAAATCCACCTTAGCTCACAAAAACATTATTTAACGTCCGTAAATTTATTGTATAATTGCGTCGTTGCTGCTCGGCAAGCTGAAACATGAACGCTCTTAAGTCCTAATCTAATAATGACATTTTTAAAGACTTATCCCTTACTCCCCCCCCTCATGTAACGCGCCGTAATTCTTCTGTAGCCCTTCCCCTTCCCTAAAAGTTACGTAACACCCAAGCAACCATTACTAGCTAAAAATGACAATACTGACGAATACTGGCAACGACTACAAAATAAAAATGGCGACTCAGAGTAAAACGTATAAAAAAACATGATATATTGCAAGCAAATATCTAACCGCGTAGAGGTGGGGGGAAAGGGATTGTTAGTAATGGAGACTGAGAATCCCATTGCTAGCAATATACCCAACCAGGTCGACCTCCTCGCGGTTCTCCCTGGAAACTAACATGGTTAATTCCTGATGAATTCATCATGATGTGCTAACTGGCCTGTTTTCATTCTCACCTATCACCCTTCACTGGTGCTCCGCCAGCGTATCCCGTTAGCGCAGGCGGGGTTACCGTACCATTTTCACCCAGCAAAAAAAAACCGCCTAGAGGTCGACCTGACACGGACCTGATTTTGTTAACAATGGGGTTTTAGATTTCCATTACTACCAATTCCCCCCCCCCCCCTGAATATACCATCATCCTCTTATCAGCCTTTAACTGTCCACTGCTGAACATAAATCTCCCCCTTTGGGGGGATTTTGCCCGCAGTCAGCACCCTTGGCAGACGAATTTACAACTGCAGCTGGACTTCGGAGATGTTTCAAGAGGGACGCTGCTGCCCGTCCCTCGCCGTCCCTTAGTCGCCTTACGACACCCACGGGGAAGGAAGGGGTGGCCTATTCTACGCCGGGACCACACGGCTATCATTCCCCTCAATATACCATATTTTTTTATAATATTAAAGATTTTTTTTTAAACGCAGTTGGTTAATTAATAAAGCTTTCGGTTTCTCTTCTATTGACAATTTATTTACAAAAAAAAATTATGCCTATCATTTGCTATGTCCATATTACAAGCTTTACTTGATTTGAACTGTATAGATCATCTACAATAACACGGCACGCTCCTCCAAAGGGATTGTTAACAATGGAGTTTAACAGCCCCATTGCTAGCAATATGCCCTATTAGGTCAACCTCCACGTGGTTCCCCCTGGAAACCACCGTGAACAATTCTCGTTGAATTCGTCACGATGGGCTAACTGACCTGCTTCATCCTCACCTATCATCATTCACTGGTGTATACCGACAGCGCGGGTGGGGTTACCATTCCACTGTTACCCATTAAAAAAAAGACCCCAATATGGAAAATCAAAGTATAGGACGACCCTCCACTAGATGGAGTAACGACTTCAAATGCATTGCAGGAAGCTAGTGGATGCAGGTGGCTCAGGACTGTTCCTTATGGCAGTCTATGGGGGAGACCAATGTTCAGCTGATATCGGAACAAATATTTTCAAGGTTTCCACCAGGGAATTCAACCCTCCCCTGTCTGTGTACGGGCGCACGCGGTGGAGGGGACAGTTTGGGGGAGTGGGGGGGGGGGTACCGTGTTAAAGTGGACACTTATACACTTGACACAGATTTACTTGACTTATCACTATTGTTATTTACAATCATTATAAAAAAATCTTTGGCATCATTGCGAACTGAAGCTCGGTATGAATCTCTTGTAGCTGATGCTGTGTTTATCTTCAAATAAACTCCTCACGAAGTACACCTGCAACGGAAGAAAAATATTTTACAACACACGGGGCAAACGAGCACGCGGCTCACCTGGTGGTAAGTGACTACCGCCGCCCATGATCACCCACAACACCAAAGGCATTGCAGGTGTGCTGCCGGCCTTTTAAAAAGGAATATACTCTTTTCTTGAAGGTTATGTTGTCGTATCGGTTCGGAAATACCGCTGCTGGGAGTTGATTCCAAAGAGTGGTTGTGCGTGGGAGAAAGTGCCTTGAAAAACGCACGGTGGAGGACCGCCACCCGTCCAGATGGTTGGAATGAAATTTTAGTTTATGGCGAGATTGTTTTATTTATTTATTTATTAATACTTTATTGTACACAAAAATTACTTTAATAAAATATATATATATATATATATATATATATATATATATATATATATATATATATATATATATATATATATATATATATATATATAAATAAAGCTGTACAGCAGGCGAGCATCACCCTGTAACAGTTCTCTTGCAGCGCACCCTGAGTGGTAAGGAGCGTTGATTACCAGCAGGCGGTGCGCGTACAGTGATAGGAGGGAACAGTATAGTTGTTACTATTAAGAAATAATAAATTATGTTTACCTAATTACAAATTAACTTACATTCAAAATACACATGTAGATGTGGGCTTGAAGACATATATGATGATAATGGCATGGTAACCCCGCCCGCGCTATCGGTATACACCGGCGGGGCACCAGGAGGGATGATAGGTGAGGATGAAGCAGGTCAATTAGCCCAACGTAACAAATTCACTAATGTTTTTCAGAAGGAACCACGAGGAGGTCGACTTGGTTGGGTATATTGCCAGCAATAGGATTCTCAGTCTCCATTACTAACAATCCCTTTCCCCCAGGCAGGTCAGTTAACCCATCGTGAAAAATTCAATGATAAATTAGTCACGGTGGTTTCCAGGGGGAACCGTGTGGAGGGAAGACCACAAATTCATTACAGGGAGTCAGTGGATGCAGGTGGCTCGAGAGCTTTCCTTATGGTAGGTCTATGATGGAGTCCTACGTCCAGTGAACAATTAACAGCTGAATGGTGATGATGATGAAGAAATAGCAAACATACCTGAGTGATACCGACGAGCAGCATCAATATAATCTGCCCTATTGACCACGTCAGCACCCTGGAATGTAAACAGAAATCATATTATTTGGGGCAAAATATTTATTAGTTAAGGGGCCAAACGGCCCCGTTGCTAGCAATACACGTCAGGTGACCTCCACAGGGGAGAACCTTGGAAACAATAGTAGTTAATCCCTGGTCAATTTAGTATGATGGGTTACCAGAGGGAGACTTTGTACAAAAGTCGTTTGCTTGCCCACCTCTGTCCCATTCGTGTTTCTACCGTGAAGCAGTTGTGTTTGCATGGCTGTGTTTCGGTTTGAAGGGTGGGATATGACAGTGAATTTATTGAGTACAGAGGAATAACGCCTGAGTCCTCAGGAATGGCAACGCATGGGCGAAACAGTATACTCTGTTATGTCCACGGTACTGCTCATGTCTATAGGCGACGGTTACCACTTTCCATCAGGCGGGCCGTCAGCTTGTTTGCCATTCTAAGTTGTATAAAAAAACCAACCTGCCTTCCTCCTAACTTTAGTGGTGATCTATCTTCGAGTGTTGGCAGTCACACACATACTAATGGGAGCGGAATGGGGGGAAGGGATTGTTAATAATTGAACAGTTAGTCCCTACTGCTACCAATGTACCCTATCAGGTCGACCTCCACGCGGTTCTCCCTTTAAACTGTCGTGACCAATTATTGTTGAATTCGTCACGATGGGCTAACTGACCTGTTTCATCCTCACCTATCATGTTTCCCTGGTATTCCGCCGGTGTATACCGTCAGCGCAGGCGGGGTTACCATTCCATTATCATTCATTAAAATGGTAGCAAAATTAAATGAAATAATTTTAATAAAATAACCAGTGTATTTCTCTTGTGTGCCATCTCATAACTCTGAGATAGAGAGATTTATAAAGCGATTTGAAAAAAACTTTATTTATATTTCAAATGTCCACTTCTGTACACAGGCCTGTCCCTTGAGGGGCTTTGCCAGTCGTTGGCACACTTGGCAGGCGGATTTGCAATCAAGCTTTAGAGATACTTTAAGAGGGACGCTGCTGCCCATCCCTCGCCCTCCTCAGTCGTCTCTTACGACACCCACGGGAAAGGAAGGGGCGGCCCATTCTATGCCGGGACCACGCGGCCAAAATACATACATACACGTATTATAAAATCCATCTGGGATTGGCAACCGCCATAATATAATACACAATAGGTCTCCTTATTTACCTGGAGCACATGTCCTCGGCGAGGTTCCGGTCGCGCGCCTCGTGCGCCGAGTGCAGCTCCTGCAGCCGCCGCGCGGTAGACACGTTGTCGCGCACCCGCGACACTGACTCCGATATGTCGCGGACGCGCATCATGTACGTCTCAGCCGCGTTGCCTACAAGTATCATTACTTCTTGGGTACAGTACCTCACCGAAGACGACATAGCACCCTTAGGTCTTTTCGGTTTAGAGGTTTCTTCAGGGTCTGCGACGCGCGCGTAATACTTCTGGTATTGCAGGCGTTTATAGGCTACGGTAACCGCTTACCATCAGATGAGCCGTATGCTGGTTTACCACCTTGGAAAAAAAAGAGGTCGGATCTCCACTATTTTCTAAATTTGTTCAACCGTTAACTGTCCCCTGCTGGACATAAGTCTTCCCTTTGGGGGGTTTTGCCCGTAGTTGCCACACTTGGCAAGCGGATTGGCAACTGCATGCAGGGTTTAGAGAAGGTTTAAGAGGTACGCTGCTGCCAATCCCTCGCCCAAAACACAAACTTTATGTTAAAAGTACATGATACATACTGTAATAATAATACAGTAATACATAATGTACATAATTTATTCTCAAAGTGGGCAGTAGACAAAATAAGTTTGGGAACCCCTGCCTTATAGGATAACTTCATGGTCCGTCCGTCTGTCAAGACACTACCTTTCTGTTTTTCGACTCATGAAATCCACGCCTACGAAGTAGCCGGCGAAAAATCAATACATACATACATATCTGTCACGCCTGTCTCCCATTAAGGTAGGCAGAAACAATGGAACGCCAAATGCTTCGATTCAAACAAACCTCTTTCGCTTCCTCCACATTCATCAATCTTTCCATACACGCTCGCCGGTTACGGGTACTTTTAATTTGGCCCTTCTTCAGCACGTCGCCTATTTGGTCGACATACGTCCGTCTAGGGCGGCCCCTACCGACATCTCCATTCATTCTTGCTCGATAAATCACTTTCGTAATTCTTCTTTCATTCATCCTCTCGAAATAGCCGAACCAACGCAGCATTCCCTCGTGAAAAGTGAGCTATATTATAAAACACTCACCTAACTCCATTTCTCTGTCGTCATCATAATCCTTCTCTTGTGTATCCTCGGTGTCAATCATCAGGTCGAAGAACACCTGCAGAAGACAAGAATACTTCTCAGTAATGATATAACTGCATCAAACTGCTTGCCGTCGACAGGAAATCCATCCTCACACGCTTAAACCGAATTTTTTTTTTTATATAGAACTTACAATGGCAAACAAGCTGACGTCCCACCTGATGGAGTGGTAACTGTTACCTATAAACATGAGCAGTACTGTGGACATAACAGAGTATACTATTTCACCCATGATACCCCCCCCCCTGCGTTGCCATTCCTGAGGACTCAGGTGTTATTCCTCTATACCCTGTAAATTCACTACCATATCACACCCTTCAAACCGAAACACAGCTGGGCAAACATAACTGCTTCACAGTAAAAACATGAATGAGACAGAGGTGCCCAAGCAAAATTACTTAATTTAACTTAATAATAACTTTATTGCATAACCATGATTTTAACAAACTCAGCACTGGAAATTACAGTAAAAGTAGATACGAATTCATTTGTACATTTGGATCAGTTTAAATATCTGTGTCTGAACTAGGTTATAAAACCTGTATCTCAGACAACAGCGCTCAACCCTCATTACATAGTATAATGTTAGTTCAGCTAAATTTTTAGTGCTACATATAGAATATTGATTTTATATAAAGTTAGTATATCTAATTATAACAATTGGCAATAATGAAAATTGTGAAAAACTTTTTCTTCTCTTTCTCCTTCTACTCCTTCTGATAAAATAAAATAAATTAACTGTGGTTTAACTAACCGTTTTCTGGCTGAATGTGCTAAATGTGTTGTCAAAACAGAATCTGTAGTCACCGTCGAGGGTGGCCGTGTACCGGTGAGAGTTCTCCGGTTTTTTGTAATCCGCCACAATGACTAGGCCAGCGGGATCAGCCATCTGGAATGACACGTCCAGCTCTCCATGTGTGGCATCTATCACCTGGAACAGACATGATCTAATTTAAAAGTTCTTTTTACTTCTATATAATTTCTGTAACATTCCACAGTTGTATATCAATAATTTTGTGTTAATGTTAATCTAGAACTACCCTCACTTTTATAATTTTTTATGGAAAAGTTATTATTAAATTGAGTATTGATATATAGTTTGTTGTTACATAGATTAAAGTGTTTACAATAAAAACGTAATTACGAGAGGGAGACTTTGTACAAAAGTCGTTTGCTTGGGTACCTCTGTCCCATTCGTGTTTCTATCGTGAAGCAGTTGTGTTTGCATGGCTGTGTTTCGGTTTGAAGGGTGGGATATGGCGGTGGGATTACAGGGCACAGAGGAATAACAACTGAGTCATTAAGAATAGCAAAGCATAGGGGTATCATAGGTGAAACAGTAATGTCCATGGTACTGCTTATGTCTATAGGTGCCTTTTTGCCACTATATATATTGCTGGTTCTATAGAAATTATAATTAAAAATTAAAAACAATTACATAAAATGTGCAGCCAGGATAGGTCGCTATATTAATATACAGGAAGGAGTTTATTGATAATGGGGTTTAATACACCTATAGCTATATCAACTATCAGGCTGATCTCCACAGTTCCACCTGGAAACCGAAGTGGTTGATTATTGATGAATTCGCACTATGGATGGCCTATTCTGCTTTCATCCTAGTCTCTTACTTGAACCTCACCGGGTCACAAGCTAAGCTACCATTTCACCTTCACTCATTTAAAAGAAAATTCAATAATTATCGTCAAAGTATAAAGGTTATTTTTTGAAAAAATAAACAAGTAGGTACCTGATACTCTATGTCGATTACTTCGTTAGGTGAAACTTTCTGGAAGAAACAATCCATTTTTCCGGCTTGCACTGTAAAAGTCATATCTTTTTCAAACGCAAAAACAACACTAAATATCGTAGATAAGAAAATGTACCGCATTTTAAATAATACTTCCGGTAACGCGTTATCCCTGTGCCGTACAGTAAAAAAAAAGGAACGACAGAAGTTATATTTAGCGAGCGCAACGGTTATTTATATTTATATTTAGAATAAATCGTAAGAGAAAAATGTAACTGGTAAAAATAAACAAACGAAACGAAATCGAAGAACCACCAACGAATGAATCGAAATCCAAAAATGACAATGACAGTTAATTTTTTTATCTTTTGACCGTAGAAAGAGTACTTGTACCAAAAGTACTATCCTTAATCTGTGTATATATCAGTTTTTTTTGCCTGATAAAGTGAATTAAGCCGATATAACTATACTTTGATCTTAGCCAAAAAGATAAAAATCAATAAAACGGATACAGCCTACACTAACATAGTTTTCTTTTTATTGTGTTGATATTCGCACAAAAATTTCGGCATTTTGTAATTCCTTGTTCTTAACATTGGCTACAGCAAACTATCATAAACTAAATTCAAAATAATTTAGATTTGAATCTATTATAAACTAGTTAACACCACAAACTTCGTATTGTCGAAACATTCGATTCTTTATTTTTTTAGTTTTTTTTAAAACGACGCGACGGGGCAGCTAGAAAACTATTCTATTAAGAATTAGTTTATATTTCTTTTTAGACTAAAGATTTTATTGTGATATCAAATTTAGAGGAGAGGTGTTACAAAAACAGATAAAATTTATTTTTTATTGTAATTGACAACAATTAAATATTTATGTATGTTAATTATAAATTAAATATAGGTAAACATGGATACTAACAAGTATGGAAACAACAACATTAATTCTTACGCCACAGATAAATAATCTAGCAAAATATTTCCAGTGACCACAGATTAATTAAAAGTATAAAAACAAAAAGTGGCTATAACTTCCTTCTTCACTGACGTATCAACAAAAGTTATAGTTTTAATTTTCTCCATTTCTTCATTCTATTCTTCGTAATGTGTTCCTAAACGAGTATTAATTTAAAATGTCTGGTGCGAGCGGGTCGGGTGGCTCCGGCGTGGTCCGCAACAGCGCATTGTCATTTGTTGCGCCGGCGCAACCTTCACCTGACCAAGATGTTCCGAGTAATCTGCAGGACACATCTAAAGAACAAACGGGACAAGGTATATTTATTACTAGCTTTTGCCCGCGACTTATTCCTTGTTACTGGGATCTAAAAGTCTTTAAACAAAATTATAAAATACTCTGCCACATTTTTACATGGGTTTCCTAGAAACATTTCTGGTTAAATCTTGTTGAATTCATTGTGATGTGTCAACTGACTTGCTTTCATCCTTACCACACTGGTACTCCATTCTTTTTTTTATTGGATGAAAATTGAATGGTAACCCCGCCTGCACTAACGGGATACGCTGGCAGGGCACCACTGAAGGGTGATAGATGAGGATGAAATCAGGTCAGTTAGCCCATCATGATGAATTCATCAGGAATTAATCATGATAGTTTCCAGGGGGAACCGCGAGGAGGTTGACCTGGTTGGGTATATTTCTAATAATGTAATTCTCAGTCTCCATTACTAACAATCCCTTTCCCTATAAAGAAGATACTCCAATATATATCAAAAACTTCTTTGTTCTGCTCATAATTCTGTGATTGATTACAAAATAGGTATAGGCAAAAAAAACTTAAAAAATATATTTCACCAGAGGCAGACTTTGTACAAAAGTCGTTAGCTTTGGTACCTCTGTCCCATTTGTGTTTCAACCCTGAAGCAGTTGTGTTTGCATAGCTGTGTTTCGGTTTGAAGGGTGGGATATGGTGTGAATTTACAGGGTACAGAGGAATAACACCCGAGTCCTCAGGAATGGCAATGCATGGGGGGTATCAAAGGGTGAAACAGTATACTCTGTTATGTCCATGGTACTGCTCATGTCTATAGGTGACGGTTACCACTTTCCCTCAGGTGGGCCTTCAGCTTGTTTGCCATTCTAAGTTGTATAAAAAAAAAAAGTCAAGTATTTATTTTTCGATAATGAATCTGCATGTGTATATATTCTTTATTACACTTGTAAATTACATTGTTAATGTATTTATAAACGTTGTGAGCAAGGGTGGACTTGTCTCTGACAGAGATCTCTTCTAGTCAACCCGATACAGTTAGAAAGCATGTTGTTAGTGGGCAGCTAAAGTACACGAGTGCTGTACATACAACTATGACTTTCATGTTTCCAGACTGCCTCGTACCAGCCGGCCTCAAAGCGTTGTGCGATGCATGTGCCAAGGTGTATCCCGACCAGCCCAACCCTCTGCAGGTCACCACGAGACTCAAATACTGGTATGCCATGTAATCAGTCAAATAAAGTAATAACTAAGTCTTTTACCCATTCTTCTCAGCTGAATTTGCACCATAAACTGGGTAAATTTATAATAAGGAAGGATGTCATGGGCGAAACAGTATGCTCTGTTATGTCCATGGTACTGCTCATGTCTATAGGCGATGGTTACCACTTACCATCAAGTGGGCCGTCAGAGGGAGACTTTGTACAAAAGTCGATTGCTTGGGTACCTCTGTCCCATTCGTGTTTCAACCGTGAAGCAATTGTGTTTGCATGGCTGTGTTTCGGTTTGAAGGGTGGGATATGGCGTGAATTTACTGGGTACAGAAGAATAACATCTGATTCCATTCCTAAGAATGGCAACGCATGGTAACAGTATACTCTGTTATGTCCGTGGTACTGCTCATGTCTATAGGCGAGGGTTACCACTTTCCATCAGGTGGGCCGTCAGCTTGTTTGCCATTCTAAGTTGTATAAAATAAATACTAACACATAATATGAAGGACCTAAATCTGTAATAAAACTTATTATTATTAATAATGGGCAGTCTTATTGCTAAACACCAATCTCTACCAGATAACCTCGGGGGGAAAGGGATTGTTAGTAATGGAGACTGAGAATCCCATTGCTAGCAATATAACCAACCAGGTCGACCTCGTGTTTCCCCCTGGAAACTATCATGGTTAATTCCTGATGAATTCATCATGATGGGCTAACTGGCCTGTTTTCATTCTCATCTATCACCCTTCACTGGTGCTCCGCCGGCGTATCCCGTTAGCGCAGGCGGGGTTACCGTACCATTTTCCACCATCAAAACCAGATAACCTCAGGATGGAGAGGATTTAAAGTTGCCTCTAGTTTAGGGGTAACAGTAGAAAAGTAATTGCTATGTCAACCAAACACTTATTCTATAAAAAAAATCTTGCAGGCTGGGCGGCCAAGATCCCCTGGACTACATCAGCATGTACTGGAACCCGGGAAGTCCTGATGAACACATACCACCGCACTGGCATTATATTAGGTACCATTATCGTTAAGCCTTCCACTGTCCATTGCTGAACATAGGGCTCTCTAAGAGGGTTTTGCCAGTGGTTGCCACGCTTGGCAAGCGGATTGGCAACTACAGTTAGACTTTGGTGATGTTTTAAGAGGGACGCTGCTGCCCATCCCTCGCCCTCCCTTAGTCGCCTCTTACGACAGTTACAGGAAAGGAAGGTATGGTCCATTCTATGCCCAGACCACACAGCATTATTAGGTATTAAATTTTTTTTTTTTTGAGATATTTATTTTCAATGTACCTAGTATTGACAATATGACCGATTGTAATGCGTCATTTCTTTAAGCCGATCTCTAAAATTGAAATTTCAACTTGATATCACCGCTCAATTTGACAGGGTATATTGCTAGCAATGTGACTGGTAGACCCAGGCCTGCTAGAGAAGGGTCTCTAGTCCCCAATACTAGCAATTCCTTTCCGAGGGGGAAGGGATTGTTAGTAATGCGGACTACCAGTCCCATTGCTAGCAATATACCCCGTCAGGTCGACCTCCACATGGTCCCCCCTGGAATCTTCAAATTCAGAACGATGGCTTGCTAAATTCCAAGTGTATCCATCATCCAGTTTCGGTCTGTCGGACCTGCACGGCGACGGGCGCGTGCACCCGGCCGGCTGGCAGGCGGCGGCCGGCTACGGGCTGGAGCTGACGCTGCGGCTGGCCGCGCCGCCGCCGCCCGCCGCGCCGCCGCTGTGGCCCGCCGCGCTGCTGCAGGCGCTGGCCAGATACGTGTTCGCCACCGGTCAGTCCCTCATACATTGTATAATACGTGCATATATATAAGGTACTGAAGGATATTTTGGATACCAGAGTTGCTTTGGTACCTCTGTCCTATTCATGTTTCTACCGTGAAGCAGTTGTGTTTGCATGGCTGTGTTTCGGTTTGAAGGGTGCGATATGGCGTGAATTTATTGGGTATAGAGGAATAACACCTGAGTCCTCAGGAATGGCAACGCATGGGGGGTATCATGGGCGAAACAGTATACTCTGTTATGTCCACGGTACTGCTCATGTCTATAGGCGACGGTTACCACTTTCCATCAAGTGGGCCGTCAGCTTGTTTGCCATTCTAAGTTGTATAAAAAAAATATATTGCAAAGAGTGGGACAGCGGTACCCAAGGAGACAGTTCTTCACGATCATAATGTAAACTTCATACTGTGCAGGTAACAAATTCTACGCGGGCGACCACATCTCGTGGCACGCGCCGCTGGACGGCGGCGGCTCGCGGCTGCGACATCTGCTGGTGGCGCAGGACCCGCAGCTGCCGCCCACCGATGGACCCTTCGGCACCGTCAACTTCCTACAGGTGTAGTTTTTTCACTATCTCTTCCCCGCGACTTCGTCCGCTATATGTGAACTCCGGGACAAAAATTAATCCGGATGGATCAGAGATTTTTTTTTAATGGATGATAATGGAATGGTAACCCCGCCCGTGCTATTGGTATACGCTGGCGGGGCACCAGTGAGGGGTGATAGGTGAGGATGAAAGCAGGGTGTTGTGATGGGTTGTTAGGATGCTGCTGTTAGGATGGGCTAACTGACCTGTCTTTTCATCCTCACCTATCATCCCTCACTGGTGCCCCGCCAGTGTATACTGTTAGAGTAAGCGGGGTTACCATTCCATTATCATACATTATATATATATATATATATATATATAATAAAACCTGTGTCCAGTTGGTGGGGTGCACTGGTCGCGAGCTGCGAGCGGCACAGCGAGGCTCCGGGTTCGATGTCTTGAAGCTGATCAGCGAGGACCACAGGTCAGAATCCTATAACACCATGTTCCCCACAGCTTTGTACGCTTGGGTTTTGAAGGTGGACAACGAATTCTGGATGGTATATTAACATGAAACCTGTACCAGTTTTGTGCAACTTAGAATGGCAAACAAGCTGACGGTCCACCTGATGGTAAGTGGTAACCGTCGCCTATACACATGAGCAGTACCGTAGACATAACAGAGTGTACTGTTTCGTCCATGATACCTCCCCACGTGTTGCCATTCCTGAGGACTCAGGTGTTATTCCTCTGTACCATGTAAATTCACGCCATATCCCACCCTTCAAACCGAAATACAGCCATGCAAACACAACTGCTTCATGGTAGAAACACCATGAATAGGACAGAGGTGGCCAAGCAAACGACTTTTGTACAAAGTCTCCCTCTGATATAGTTATACCTTTAGGTACAAAACTGTGAGAACTATATTCCATTTGATGCAGTAGGTTATGCATGAATTCAGAACAAATATACAGACAGACAGAAACATTATCTGAAAAAATATTGTTATGGCTTCTAAGGGGATCCTTCAAAAAGGGCATGTTAAGGTTTCTTCAGGGTCAGCGAAACGCTCGTGACACCCCTAGTGTTGCAGGCGTTCATAGGCTACAGTGAGCGTTTACCATCAGACGGGCTATACGCTAGTTTCTTACCATTATGGTATAAAACAATCATAATAATATATGTGGTATGTGGTATGTGTGTATGTGTGTGTGCGCACGCGCGCGTGTGTATGTGCGTGTGTGTGTGTGTGTGTGTGTGTGTGTGTGTGTGTGTGTGTGTCTGTGTGTGTGTGTGTGTGCGTGTCTGTGTGTGTGTGTGTGTCTGTATGTGGTGTGAGTGTATATATATATACACATATATATATACAGACATGATCTAGTTAATTTTTTTTTTATATTAGTGAGGTTCTTCCAGCGCTTTATATGTTATGCAGGTGTGGAGACCCCTGGCTAGTCACGAGGGTCTCGCGACGTGCCTCCGCCAGCGGACTGAAGGGCAGGAGCAAAGGGAGCGACAAGGAAGCCGCACACCTCGCGGGGGTGACCGCGCGGCTACGGTGGCATCCCTGGACGCCCACACCGAGCGCACAGGTCCGTCTTGCAGAATTTATTTGTCAGAATAGTGTGCCAACTGGCCTGCTTTCAGCCTCAACTGTCATGATTCCCTGGTATCTCGTCAGCGTATACCGTTTTTTTTATAGGTGATAATGAAATAGTAACCCCGATCGCGCTATCGGTATACACCGGCGGGGCACCAGTGAAGGATGATAGGTGAGGATGAAACAGTTCAGTTAGCCCATCGTGACGAATTCAACGAGAATTGTTTACAATGGTTTCCAGGGGAAACCACGCGGAAGTCGACCTGATAGGTAGCTGATTGCTAGCAATGGGGCTGTCAAACTCCATTGCTAACAATCTCTTCCCCCCAGCATATACCGTTAGCGCGGGCGGGGTTACCATTCCATTATCATCCACTAAACTAGTGTCCCAATATTAATATATCCATTGACTTGCAGCCAAGCGAGGGTGTGGAGCCGACGTCCCCGTCCCAGCTGTCCCCGAGCGTGGAACAGCAGATCAAGGACACGCTACAGCGGGGTCTCACCACTATGAACACCGACCGCACCGGACCCGAAGGTGAAGGTAACATTCCAGCTGTTAAATGTCCACTGAATACAGGCCTCATAGATTTTTATGCAACTTAGAATGGCAAACAAGCTGACGGCCCACCTGATGGAAAGTGGTAATCGTCGCCTATAGACATGAGCAGTACCGTGGACATAACAGAGCATACTGTTTCGCACATGATATACCCCCCATGCGTTGCCATTCCTGAGGACTAGGGTGTTTTTAATGGGTGATAATGGAATGGTAACCCCGCCTGCGCTATCGGTATACACTGGCGGAGTACCAGAGAAACATGATAGGTGAGGATGAAAAGGCAGGTCAGTTAGCCCATCGTGACGAATTCCACTATAAATTAGTCATGATGGTTTCCAAGGGAAACTCTGTGGAGATCGTAAGGTATATTGATAGCAATGGGAACTAACTTCCCCATTACTAACGATCCCTTCCCCCCGGACTGAGGTGCTATGCCCCTGTACCCTGTAATTTCGTTAATAACTTGGTTGCAGGCCACATGTCGACCGACAGTTTCGAGATGTCGAGCATCGAGCGCGCCCTACCGCACGTACCGGAACTAATGCAGGTGATTAATGCATCTCATACAATTTTTAACCGATTTCAAAGAGGTGGTACTCAACTCGACTGTATTTTTTTTTGTATATTTGTTACTAATATGTTCTAAATACATGATATTACGAACTAAAACTTACTGTGTGTCTTATATTCGCGTATGGAGTCGGCTAAGCCGTCGCACGTCGACCCATTGGGATCTTTTGTGCTTCCCCCTGCCTTATACCATCATTTCATAGATCCTATGTGTTACCCTAACGATATCCCGCGGTTTAAGATACCTGTAGTCCTCTGGCTCCGGATAAGCCGTTCCCAGTAGACTCATACGCATACTTGCCAACGAATCGCAGTTGCATATCAAGTGTTCCATGGATTCCATAACCTGAGCGTTCGTGGGAGGAAACATCTTTGAAACAGCGCTGTATGCGACCATCTAGGACGCCACAAACAATAGTATCATCCCAACTATCTGGAAGACTGGTGGTCTTCCACCGTGCGTTTTTCAAGGCACTTTCTTCCACGCACAACCACTCTACGGAATCAACTTCCAGCAGCGGTATTTCCGAACCGATACGACATCGTGACCTGCAAGAAAAGAGCATATTCCTTTTTAAAAGGCCGGCAGCACACCTGCAATGCCGTTGGTGTTGTGAGTGATCATGGGCGACGGTAGTCACTTACCATCAGGTGAGCCGCATGCTCGTTTGCCCCCTGTGTTGTAAAAAAAGGCTTGTAGGCTTTGAGGGTGAAGTCCCTGTCGATGGCGAGCCGTACGATGATAGAAGGTGGCCGTGGGCAGCCCGAATCCAGCAATAGAATCGTAAAAGACGGTACAGACTTAAGATGATTTCCATTCTATTCCAGGGTTCCTGGCAAAGCGAGGATGATGCCGTGGAGTACCTGGACGGAGTGCATTTAATACTGAACCCTGAAGGTGCCAGCTTGTTGCCGCTAGCTATTGAGTGAGTTAATACCAACTGGCGATCTTGATTCATTATTTTAAACGAAAATTCTGTAAAATGGTACCGATTCTGAGGCGTTATTTTATCTCTCAAGTCACCGCGTGGTCCCGGCATAGAACAGGCCACCCCTTCCTTTCCTGTGGCTGTCGTAAGAGGGGACTAAGGGACGGCGAGGGACGGGCAGCAGCGTCCCTCTTAAAACATCTCTAAAGCCTGCGGTTGCCAATTCACCTGCCAAGCGTAGCAACTATTGACAAAATTGTCCAAGGCCTATCTTATATATAAAATTCTTGTGTCGCGGTGTTTGTTACCAAACTCCTCTGAAACTGCTTTACTGATTTTCATGAAATTTTGTGCGCATATCGAGTAGGTCTGAGAATCGGCCAACATCTATTTTTTATACCCCTCAATGATAAGGGTGACCCACCACAAAAATTTTTTTTTGTATTTTGTAGATAATTTTTTTTATTTTTATTTTATTATAATTTAGCATTGAAAAATACATACAACTTTAAATTTTCATCGTTTTACGATCAACCCCTGTATTTTAATTGCGATTTTTATATTTCGCAATAAGTGGTAAAACAACGTTTAACGGGGTCAGCTAGTGTTGATGTAAAAACTTTAATAAAAAATTAAATATCTTTATTTAATGGGTAAAATCCTATATCTATATGTTGACTTCTTCTGGCCATTGGTGATCACCCATTGCAATGTCGTCCATACCAGTCGAATATCTACCTATATATTCATTACAAGCTGGTAATACCAGAGGGAGACTTTGTACAAAAGTCGTTTGCTTGGCCACCTCTGTCACATTCGTGTTTCTACCGTGAAGCAGTTGTGTTTGCATGGCTGTGTTTCAGTTTGAAGGGTGGGATATGGCAGTGAATTTACACGGTACAGAAGAATAACACCTGAGTCCTCAGGAATGGCAACGCATGAGGGGTATCATGGGCGAAACGGTATACTCTGTTATGTCCACGGTACTGCTCATGTGTATAGGCGACGGTTACCACTTTCCATCAGGTGGGCCGTCAGCTTGTTTGCCATTCTAAGTTGTATAAATAAAAATAATACTAAGAATGTTGTGTGGCGGCAGCGGGCGCGTGGCGCACGGGCGGCACTTCACATACCGCGGCGCGGTCGGCGCGGGCGGCGCGGCCACGCTGCTGGCGCCGGCCGTCGGCGGCGCGCTCACGTCGCCTGCGCGGCCTTACGCATGCCGCGCCACCTGGCTGCAGGTACGCACAACCACCACCAGACATCACATCGACACTCTCCCTCATACGGCTGCATTACTACATATATATATGTATATATGGTGGACAAAACAAATAGGCTATTTACAGATACACGAACTTAAGATCGCTCACACATTCCAGTACGTTGTCTGCGACAGCTGCCACCTTTTATAGTTTTAAGTCTCAGTACAACTAGGATCCTCCCACCGTATACCCGTCCAGGCTAAATTAAGTATCTTACTGCCCACCTCCTTTGCAGAGAGAAAAGGGATAGTTAGCAATGGAGTTTGACAGCCCCATTGCTAGTAATATGCCCTATTAGGTTAACCTCCACGTGGTTCCCCCTGGAAACCGTCGTGAACAATTCTTGTTGAATTCGTCACAATTGGCTAACTGACCTGCTTCGTCCTCACCTATCATCCTTCACTGGTGCCCCGCTGGTGTATACCGATAGCGCGGGCAGGGTTACCATTCCATTATCACCCACTAAAAATTGGTTGGCAATGGGGGCAAAGGGATTGTTAGTAATGCAAGCTATTAGTTCTATTGCTTACTGTGATTCATGTGGGTATACTGAGATTTTTATAATAATTATATTTGGCGGGTAACAGCTCTTGACTACAAATAGAAGTGATCCGATCCAGGTGTGTTTCATTTCTCTCCGTCATATTAATACCTAGAGGCGATAAATAACTATCAAATAGCAATGCACCCAATCAGGTAGACCTTCTGCCGGTTCCCCCTGGAAACCATCTTGATTGTTTTTTTATGAATTCATTACTTATGTTCTAACTAATCTTTCTATCATGTGTCCCTGGTACTCCACCAGCGTATACCGTTAGTGCAGGCGGGGTTACCATTCCATTATCGTTCATTAAAAAAAAATGTCATTCCAGATATTAATACCAAAAGACCTGGCGGAGGACATGTCGCGGCAAGTGGCGGGGCTGTCGGCCCTGGCGGACACCGACTCGGAGTCGGACAGCGGGGACGAGTGCAAGCGAGACAGCGCGCCAGCCCTACCTCTTACTCTAACGTGGCATAAACACAAGCTGAAGATATCCGTGGTGCACGACCACGACTTGTTGTAATAGAAATAATTAAAGAAATAATAATAAAGCATAAGATAAGACATTTACAAACCGGGTTTTTTTTTTATACAACTTAGAATGGCAAACAAGCTGACGGCCCACCTGATGGAAAGTGGTAACCGTCGCCTATAGACGTGAGCAGTACCGTGGACATAACAGAGTATACTGTTTCGCACATGATACCCCCCACGCGTTGCCATTCCTGAGGACTCGGGTGTTGTTCCTCTGTACCGTGTAAATTCACGTCATATCCCACCCTTCAAACCGAAACACAGCCATGCAAACAACTGCTTCACGGTAGAAACACGAATGGGACAGAGGTGGCCAAGTAAACGACTTTTGTACAAAGTCTCCCTCTGGTGAAAAATTTCTAATTGACACTCCTTTCCAGTTTGGGTTTGATGGAAGCATGGGTGTAGATCAGCCTGTCAGAAAACCGGGGCTACCATTCCATTATTGTGCATAAAAAAAAAAGAATCGCTGAATTGAAAGGAAATATGGAAATCGTATTTGCTTAATTATTATTCTCTGCAACTTTAATGTATCTATGGTATTATTATAAATTGTTCATTGTACTCAAAAAGTTGTCAGAAATAAATAAATAAACATTGTCTAATGCTACTATGCGTCGTCGTGTGGTCCTGACATAAAATGGGCTACCCCTTGCTAACTGCAGTTGCCAGGGGGGAAAGGGATTGTTAGTAATGGAGACTGAGAATCCCATTGCTAGTAATATACCCAACCAGGTCGACCTCGTGTTTCCTCCTGGAAACTATCATGGTTAATTCCTGATGAATTCATCATGATGGACTAACTGGCCAGTTTTCATTCTCATCTATCACCCTTCACTGGTGCTCCGCCAGCGTATCCCATTAGCGCAGGCGGTGTTACCATACCATTTTCATCCACCAAAAAAAAACTGCAGTTGCCAATTCGTCTACCAAACGTGGCAACTATTGACAAAACCAACCTTTATAGCGGAAGCTTACCTTCAGCGATGTACACTTAACGGCTCCATCGGCATCGACACTACTATACGTGGGACAATGGCGCCCTCTAGTGTTAAGTTTTTTTTTGGTGGGTGAAAATGGTATGGCAACCCCGCTGGCGGAGCACTAGTGAAGGGTGATAGATGAGAGTGAAAACACGCCAGTTAGCCCATCATGATGAATTCATCAGGAATTAACCATGATAGTTTCCAGGTAGAACCGCGAGGAGGCCGACCTGGTTGGGTATATTGTTAGCAATAGGATTCTCAGTCTCCATTACTAACAATCCCTTTCCCCCATATTGTTAACAGTTGTAACCCGTTCTCGTTGTGCACGAAGGCCTCGGTCGTCGCTCGAAACTGCTTTATGTGTCTTCCGAAGACAGAGAGTAAGTGACAATTAATATTAAATGATCTAAACATAAATTTTAAAATTAAGAGGTTTATTTCGTTCCCCTCCCGGAAAAAAACCCTATAGCTAGAAAGTTATTCCCAACTCGCCCAAGTATTAACAGCCATAATCTACGTGTCAAAATCTTCACCATCATATATCTGTTTTAAAATTTTGGCGCGTTTAAATATTAATAAACAATACCTATCCTTTATGCCTACCATGTTTTGATTTTTGATTATATAATCAGATACATGAGTGATACTCTATAATAACAATTGTAAAAGGAGAAATGGTACGTCTCTTGCTTTTATCTTCATTTTTTATATTCGTCTAAAAGAGATTTGTAAACGAATATTAGTGCGACCTCTGTAGAGCGATTTAGGAACTAAAATTACTAATATTTAAAGTCTAGTAGCAAAAGACAAAATTTAATTAGTTTTGTCTTTTGCCACTAGACGACGTACTCCAAAATTATAACACTTCTATAGTTCCACTAGTGTTTTTATATTTATTTACGTATTAAAATTATAGCTATTAAAACATTAAATCAAGAGATAATGAATGGTATATAAAAATTCAAATAATTCTTTTTCTTTTTTCCAATATACTATATGGCTTCTTTCCAGCCATTACCGAACACCAAATCGTAAATGGCGCTGATTGTCACAAAAAAGTTCATTTATATATTTTAACCCACCCATCCTACTCAACGATTATAATACAATCGTGCTACGTAATAGTGTTTACTTGTTGTTTTTTTTATATTACATTTTGTATTTATTACATATTCTACTTCACCAGTTTGAATGTTACTTTAATGATTATTTTTTATTAAATAAAATTATGTCATAAAAAAAATCGTAGAATAATTGCTATGATATATTTTACTTTATTAATATAAAAAAAATGTAATTACACCCAATTTTAATAATTTTATAATCTTAGAAAATAATAAGAACTGTCTCAAAACAATATTATTAATTTATTACGCAGACGGGCCAAATATTACAAAGATGTTAATCTAGCAACATTGATATAGGTAACTAGCCGGTTTGGTCGCATTCTATTGTAGTGTTGATTCTCGCAGAGTGAAGCTATATAGATATTGGTTAGGAAGCTACATAGCGGCCTTCACATCGTTATTTCTTCTATCTCTTTCCCTCCTACTAAACTTGCTCTGCTTCAAGTGTTGCTATTTCGTTCGTTCGCCGTTAATTGTAACGCGACAAATAAAACGTAGCCATCTTGTTAGTTATAAACGCCGCGTGATAGCCAACTCGTTTGTGTTATAGAAAACTGTATATTTAACTTGTTTTTGGCGGTGTTTTTGATTATCATGTCTGAGATACCGAAAATTTGGGACTACTTCGAGAGAAGTACAGATAAAAATAAAAAGAGAGCGTTGTGTAAAATTTGTGGAAACTATTATTCATATTCATCAACGACGGGTAACCTAAGAGTTCATTTAGCGAGTAAACACAGCACCGACATTAAGGTACCGCCGAAGAAGGAGCGTCCGGCGCATTATGCCCCATACGGGAAATACTCCAAAATCATATGGGGTTACTTTTCACAAGTCGAAGGGGAAGATAAAGAAGCCGCCTGTAACTTCTGTGATAAACATGTCTCGTACCGTACAACCACGGCCAATTTGAAAACACATTTACAAAAGAAACATCCAGATGAGTACACCAGGTTCCTGGAACTGCAGCCGCCGGATTTAGACGCTGTCAGCAAAGAAGTGTACTTGACATTGAGCGATGAAGGTATGTATTTTTTTTTATTGACTTTATGATTAAACTTTTTATGATCTATGGTTGATAACAGTCGTTTGAAATGTATCGATAACGGGGAAATATATACATTAACCGTTTGTTTATTTGACTTATTCGATAATAACTAAGTTAACAGTTATAGGGATGGACGCCCGATCCGTGGAAATTTGATGAAAAGAACAGTTAATTCTATTTTTATAACCTAACATTGAATGGCTAATGGCTACCTTAAAAAGCCGAAGCCAAAAGAAGAAAAAACCTAACATTGTAAAAAAAAATAAAGTGCCTCAATTTTTTTTTTTAATATTGAATTGAGACTTGGTTATCCTACTGTGTAACGGTTTAAGAAGGAGATAGACTAAACACGGTTTCACATATACATATAGATTTATATTATAAAAATATGCAGATTTTTATTGAAATGTAGATTTCTATTTGAAATAAATAATAATACGGTCATGGCACAAACATAAAGTGATATTATTTATTTATTTGAGTTTCTAGCGGACTTTTCTCGACAGATAACATCCTGTTATGGGGCAGGGTTTTAACACAGTTGGTGTTTTTGAAATGACTAGACTCGTAGAGTATTCTGAATTGAACTGTCTTTATTATTACAAATCGTCCATATATATAGTAGAGATATCTTAATTACTATTTACAATTACAATAGTCAAATACTTCCATCGAAAGAGTGACAACAAATACAGATAATAACTTACTAATGGAAACTTGTATGAGATAAACAAATATACAAATATGAATATTAAACAATATAATGATTTCGATATCAAATGGACAAATACAAATATACAAATAGGAATGTCAAATATTATAATGATTAGGTCGTAGGCTGACACATGGTCTTAGGTCACGTACTCTTAATATATGTAACAATCCTTCCGAGTCCTGCAGTACATTAAAAAAAAATAACAATTTAAAAGTGCTTGTAAACAAGTCTAAGTTTGAATTTGTTTTTATTTGTTCTTTTTTTATTTTTATTTATATGTTATTAAAACTTAAAACTATATTAGTGTACAATTTTCTTTTTAATTATTATTAATTACGATACACGCGTACCATACTACTTGGTACATTACCCTAAAGAGGGGAAAGGGATTGTTAGTAATGGAGACTGAGAATCCCATTGCTAGCAATATACCCAACCAGGTCTACCTCCTCGCGGTTCTCCCTGGAAACTATCATGGTTAATTCCTGATGAATTCATCATGATGTGCTAACTGACCTGTTTTCATTCTGATCTATCACCCTTCACTGGTGCTCCGCCAGCGTATCCCGTTAGCGCAGGCGGGGTTACCATACCAATTTCACCCGTCAAAAAAATACCCTAAAGATAACACATAGGATCTATGAAATGATGGTATAAGGCAAGGGGAAGCACAAAAGTTCAATGTGGGTCGACATGCAACGGCTTAGCTGACCCCGTATGCGAATATAAGCTAAGATGGGCACTCTAGCTTGTTCGCAATTGATATTATTTGAACATATTGGAAGGACATAATTTTCTTTTAAATACTTATAAAATGGTTTGTTTTGACTGTGTCTACCAACACACAGACATAAGTACTAATAAAACTTACCAGAGGGAGACTTTGTACAAAAGTCGATTGCTTGGGTACCTCTGTCCCATTCGTGTTTCAACCGTAAAGCAGTTGTGTTTGCATGGCTGTGTTTCAGTTTGAAGAGTGGGATATGGCAGTGAATTTACACGGTACAGAGGAATAACACCTGAGTCCTCAGGAATGGCAACGCATGGGGTGTATCATGGGCGAAACAGTATACTCAGTTATGTCCACGGTACTGTTCATGTCTATAGGCGACGGTTACCACTTTCCATCAGGTGGGCCGTCAGCTTGTTTGCCATTCTAAGTTG